TTTTTCCGGAGTGCGCAAAATTACACGCTGGGCAGAATTTCCCCTGAGAGGATTTTTTTTTTTTCCTTCGTGCAAAGTTAAACGCAGCGGCAGAGATGAATGATGAAGGAAAAAAAAAAAGAATTAAGGGAACAATGAGCGTCATCATTTTTTTTGTGCACATGGAGGAGGAGAGGTTAACCCCCATAAGTGTATATATGTTTATATGTGTCCCCCAAACGCACAGGTGTTACGTTTGAAGTAGCGTGAGCGCGTACGTAAGGCATTATATACGCGCACATGTACACTCTCATACGTGTATGTGTTAGGTGAATACACATTTGTTATTATTTTTTTTTTTGTTTTTTTTTTTTTTTTTTTTTCCATGCTTTTTTTGTAAACTTTTTGGGGCTCATTTGTGTCGAGGCAATCTGCGCAGTGACATGGGGGAATGTGAGTGTCCCGCAGACTGTGTCGCAGACCGTCCCGTAGATTGTCACGCAGACCGTCCCTTAGATTGTGACGCCGGTTGACACGACCCCGTTGAGACGCCGGCGACGCGTGCGTTCCCGCTTATGGGCGGAGTGTGTCCAGCATGCTAACCAAACCGCGCTACCCTGAAGCGTCTGTTTGTCGCTAGAGGTAGTGGTGGTGAAGAGATGCGCAGGAATTGGCCCATGTGCTTGCGCCCGCCTACCACACCGAGGCAGCGCGCAGTTGTATCGTTAAGGGTAGTCGTGCAGACTCTTGCGCTCGCTTCCTTGGCGGGGGTGACAGGGACAGACCCAAGACCATAGCATCCGGGGTAGCCCACCCCGAGTAGGCACCCTGAGTAACCGCTTTATTTGGGCCACGCTGAGCGGCCCCTGCATCCCCCAAGCGACAAGCCAAAATGGACAGTCTAGAAATGAACCTGTTGATTGAGAACTACATTGATGAAGAAAAAGTGTGCCATAATTTTCCTTTTAGAAAATTCAAGCTTTTATTATATGCATATAAGAATTATCATCAGTCAGTTAATCTGCGTAAGAAGGATCTAGCTAATGGGGAAAATGATGGTAGATGCAGAGGTAGCGATTCTAAGAACGGGTTCGATGGTGCCAACGAGGAAGAATTAAGTGTAAACTTGGTAAAGAGTTCATATAATTATAAAAAAAAAAAAAAAAAAAAAAAGAAAAAGAAATATCTTTTGGTACAGCGGAGAGTTTTCCAAGTAACATCAGTGGCAATGGACAATGTAAAGGTGAGGAATGTTTAGGGGTCCCTGATGTTTCTAACCCTACAACTACACCCACTCACACAGAAAAGGTCAGTCATACCAATGTGATCAGTGCTTGTGCCAGTGGCGGCGAAGCTAACTTAGCTACCAACCATACCAACCATACCAACCACACAAATGATACAAATGATGATCAGGTGATGGAGAAGGTTCCAGGACAAGGGAAGAACCCTGTAGAAAAAATACACAAGAAAATTAATTTTGAACATAGAACAGAGAGTTTGTTTTTACCCAAGCAGAAGGAAGTGGCGGAACATCAACAGACGGTTGAGGACTACTCTGAAGAAGACATGCTGAAATTAATTTATTACTTTTTGCATAAGTACATGTTTAGTAGGGACAGGAAGAAGAAGAATAAGCTGAGGGGGAAGAACAGCTTAATGTTAATGTTGGAGAGGGAACAAGATGGACAAACAAATACCATGGTCGGGTCGAAGGGAGTGAAGAAGAGTGCTGTGAATGGCGCGCTGAGTGGTGCCTCCCGAGGGAGAAACAAGAATGGTCAGGGTGCACAGGAAGGGGTGAAAAAGGAGGTAAAGGGCGGTGACACACATGAGGGGGAGAAAGGAGTGGCAGATGAGGTGAAGATGGAACTCGTGAACGAAGCGGAGAAGGAGGTACGGGATAAAATGGCAGAGGGGGAGGCCAACGTGGAGGCGATTGGAGGTGGCATCGAATTGAAGGTTGCAGGGGATGGTGCGGAGGTGGAAGGTGCCGCCGCTAGTGAACACGTGGAGGGCGCCGCGGAAGGAGAAGACCCATTGGGCACGAAGCCAAAGGAGACAGACAAAACGGAGCAGCCACATGAGGGGGTTAGCGAAATGAACAGCTGCGAGTCAGGGAAAGCAAACCCACATGGAGAGGCACACGAGGAGAATGGGAAAGCGTGCGTGGGCAGTGAAAACCACCAAGCTGTAGTGAGCCATGCAGGAGAAGAAGCACAGGGAGACGCAGCGGCAGAAGCAACGGCAGGAGAAGACGCAGAGGAAGAAGAAAAAAGACTCGAACTAATCATTAACACTTTTATGAATAGGAAACAAATTTTTTTTTCAATGAATGATATTTTTTACCCCTTCACTAATCGGCATCTCAACATGTCCAGGAAGAAGCAGCAGAACAAAAAGCTGTCAAAGAATATATCATTTGAGCGTTCTAATAATAGGTTTTCTAAAATTCTTGGACATGTCGACCTTCTCGACCCACGAGATAGTGCACCATCTAGAAGGTACCTTAAAAGTAAAGTAATATACGGGAAATTCAAGAAAGGATTAAATCTTCTACTTAAACATGAAAAGAAGAAGAAGAGGAAGTACAGGAGACATGGGACCAGTGGTAAGGTCGATGATGTCTTGTCGGTACCCCCGATTGGTGAGGGTGTGGAAGGTAGTCACAACATTGTGGGGGGAAACATTGGGCACGCCAACGTGAGTGCTTGTGGTGATGCTCTTGCAAGGACCGTCGTGAAGGCTGCTGGAAGGAAGAAAGGCAACAAAGGTGCTGCGCATACTGCTAACGAGAATGAAGAATATTTTAGTGTGACTTGTGGGACAAGGGAAAACGACGCGAACTGTCTCATTAAAAGTGTTAAGGAGAAGACCGGGCGAGGAAGGAATGTTGGAGAGAAGAAAGGGGTCAAGATGAATAATGTACCTGTAAGTGTGAACCCTAGCGAAGCATGCAGCAACACCATACAAATGCAAGAGGGGCAGCATGGCGTCCCTCTTCAGATGGGCGACCCCCGCTTCAATCTGCACGCAATGGGATTTGTGGACACGGTGAGAGCCATCCGGGGTGGTGAACATCAGGCGAGACCCATCCCAAGGAAGCACACCTCACATGGGAGAGGGAAACAGAAGGATTCAGGCAGCACGCACGATGGGTTTTTTAGTAGCGCTGGACATATGAAGGGGTACAGCATGATCAACGTGGTGGATCCAGCCGTGGCTACTTACTACGTCGGCGGCGAGGTGGGCGGTCAGGTGGGTGGTCAGGTGAGTGGTCAAGTTGGCGGCCAGATGAGCGGCCTGATGAATACCCCCATTCGATACGACCATCCGGTCTGCAACCCCCCAGGTGCAGGAACCCCAGTGAACACCCCCAATAAAGGATCTAGTAAGAAGGAGAAAACGGGTGGAAGAAAAAACGTACAAAAAAAATACACCATCTCGAAGGAGGCGCCATTTTATAACGCGTCACCTGGTGCAACATCGTTTGTGTCCATTGCTGGTGGAGGAGGATTATATCCGTATGGCAACATCGACTCTTCCAGTAACGTTGATAAACCGAGTGGAGTGATGCCACCCCATGGCCCAGCTAGCAGCAACACAAATGTTTATATAATGAACAAAACAGAACAACAAAGGTATGCACAGGAAGCTCACACAATAAACCCTTACATTAAGAATGATGTGATGAATAAAATGGATCATGCGAAAAATAGATTCACGTTCAAGGGTACCAATGACCACTTACAGACTAGTGGACCAGTTGGTGTTGATATGAATCACCAAGGAAATGGAGGTTTTTTGGGGGGAAGACAATCAGGTGAACACAATTTCAATGGTAGTGAGGTGCAGGCGGAGGAGTTTAAAAAGGAATATTGTAACCAGTTGAGTGGTGGGGCCCCTCGAAGTAGAGTTAAGAAAAATGTAAAGGGTGGAAAAAAGGCCAACAGTGTGAAGGGAGGAGTACACAGTGGTGGTAATAAACGGAAAGGGGGTGCGAATCAAATGGGCAGAGATGCCAAAATGGGACCGCATGAGGATGGTTGTGAGGGAAGATACAACGACATGGCAATGGGTGAACAAAACGGAGGGGATAATGATGAGGGTGGTGGTGATCCAGGTGGAGGCAACACCTCTGTTGGACAATGCTACGATGAAAACAAGAGTAATTATGAAAACAGAAGGGGAGGAGATGATGATAACAACCATGATGGGAGCACTCCTTGCGGGGGTGGAGGAGGAGCAGGAATGGGGAGCAGTTACTACGTAGGTAATAATAACTCTGGGGGGAGAAGAGGCAGTGTGGGGAGCGAGAGCCGATACAAGGGGAAGCAGCAGGGACAGCAGGAGGAGCGACATGCGGGGGGTATTGGAGGGGTTGGAGGGGTTGGAAGTGGACCCATGGGAGTCGTAGGATATGGCTTAGGAAGCACCGCAGAGGACGCGAAGAGGGGAGAGACCCTGTTGCACACAAGTCTGAACCTGCAGGTATTGGATGGACAAACCAGAACAGATGACACGGTAGGTGAAGTGATGGTCAACGCGGGGACCAATGTGAGATGCACCATCGTAGGAAATGTTACTTGCATTGGCAATGTCGTAACAAGTCCTAGTAGCAACGCGGTAAATGTAAATGTGAAGGACCTTCATGGCGACCTCTCCAGGGGAAAGGCATACAGCGATGTTAGTGGACTGGGCAAAGGAACCATCATCACGAAGAAGAAGCAGAATCAAAATGGAACATATAAAGAGGGGCACTTCGTACCAGTTAATGATAGGATGAAGGAGCAAGTGGGTAGCAACAATGTTCAAGGGAGTTGCGAATTGAACATATCCTTTGCATCCATGTCGGAGGGACGGAGTAGAGTTGGCACAGGTAATGTCCTTTTTAATACCCCAAGGAATGAAGACATAAGTTGTGGTAACGGTGTCGGAGGGGGGATGAGTGTAAACGATGCGGGGGAAGCGAAAAAAATAACCTCTTTGCAGGTGAAGGGTGATCATACATTTCCTTTGTGGGGGGATACAAGGAAAACGCAGTGGTGTGAACAGATGCAGGAGATGGAGAAAATGAACCGAGAGGATGTAAAGGATGAATCTGGGGTATGTACAAAAGAGGTCACCGAAAAGGGTGTGTTCAGCAAGCACAGCTTTAGTAGTGGAGGTAGCATAGAGGGAGGAGAAAACAAAGTAACAATTAACGGAGGAGGAATTGCTAAGATGGTGAGTGAAGATGCATCAACATCAGGTTGCAGCAGCGTCATGCATATGAGACAGGTGGCAGAGGCAGGATTAAATGTGAAGGGAGCGAACAAGCTTAATTATTGCTCGGAGGGAATGTACTTGGATGGTGTTAACCTAAGCACAGCTACCTCCCTCGAGGTGCACAAGGGGGAGGAGGAGACAGAGGGTGTCTGTGGGGGGGGTTACCTGAACCACGCAATGAGCACACATGTTAGGATGACGGAAGACCAGGAGATAGGACCACTTGGTGATTCACCCTCCATGAGTGAAGCAGGAGGAAATTTCAAGTTGATACATCAGAGTCGACCACCTGACCACCACGATGGGGTATGCGACCTGGGGAAGTTGAACAGCACGGCAGACAATGGTGGTAGCGCAATGAATGATTTGAACCTCCTATTAAGGACATCCCATTCGACGGGTAATTATTATGCAAATGAATCCTCCCCTGTGGAGATAAAAAAGGATAATGCACAAGGATATGTGGAGGAGAGAGGAGCTGCTCATGGTGGAGATGCCCATGGGGGAAGTGGCGTTGGCATGGGTATTGGTCATGGAAGCAGCGAGAATCGCCTCCCCCCTGTGATAGTGCAGCAGAGCGGAATGAAAAGGAAGGCTCCATCCCTTTCGCAGACCTTGCAGGGAAGCAAAAAGGGGAAGGGGGGGTTGTTAGCAATGGGTGTTCGAGGTGCGAACAGTAGGAGCAGTCGTGGTAAGAGTGACGGTAAGAATGAGGGTCAGGGATTAATGGAGAGCTTCTCACACAGTTGTACGTCTAGCCGTGTGCAAAGCCATTCGATGAGTCCATTGGCAAATTGGCGGGGGAACCCCCTCACTCCAAGTCACCTGCATAACCAAGCACAGCAGCATTTCTCCATTGCGAACGATGGGTATATGGTCGGAAGGAACACAGTGAGCATGACACCCAACATGATGGCCAGCGTAGCAGAACCTGTGTCACCCATAAAGGGAGGGAAGGCACTGAGAGAGGTAGTACTACCCCCCACCACAACAGTAGAGCTATCTGATCAAGTGGAGGTGAACCAGGATAAAAAGAGTAACACACAGGTGGCATCCAAGTGGTCCCCAATAAGCAACAGCCATTTCACTTTTGAAGTGAATGACGAATATGAGCAATGGGGTCTTGTGGGGAAAAATTTTGAACAAGACGCTTGTACAGAAAAGGCCCATGGGATGGAGAAAGCAACGAGTAGTACATTGGGCAAGGGGTTATTATTGAGGAGTGAAATGGGTCATTTGTATGGTCATGGTGGAAGGACAGTGTCTGATGCGAAGGTGCACTCGATTCGATCGGTTAGTTACGCTATGAATGGAGAGAGTGATGGAAGAAGGATGAACGCAGGAGGGGTACTACTGCACAGGGGCTTGGAGGATGGTACTAACATCTGCAACAGCCGCGTTAGTAACAGCGGTAGCAGTGGGTGTGGGGAGAGTAGGAGCTACTCCGTGTTGAACAATCTGAAGGAACGAGAAAAGAATGCACAGGGAGGCATGCAGGAGTGTACGAAGGTGCGGGCGCTGCCCACAGAGGGGAAGCAGTTCATCCTGGGGAGTCACGACATTTGTGGTGGTGGTAGTGGTAGTAACGGGGGAGGTAGCCACATGGGTGTTGTTGGGCGCATCTCAGGGGATTGGGGCAAATTCCGCCCCTATGGTAAGGAGCCGAGCGGCAGTCGTGTCGTGGCGAAGGCGCGTGCAGGTGTTCAGAATTTTCAAAGTGGCAATGTGGATGAGGGAAGAGGTGAATATCACATGGACCACTTTGGTATGGCGACGCCGGGAAAATTTTCTTCATCGAAGGACTTACAAGAGGAAAACTTAGAAGGAGTGGAGTTACCCAGCGAAGCGAGTATGTATACCCATCCCCAAACACAAAGAGACATGTACACTAACAAAGTTGTAAATGAGATTAGCAACGAGAATAGTAGCAGTGTGCTTAAGAACAGCAGTGTGGGTGTGGACCCTATTTTGGCTAATGGCCTTGGGGACAACTCTAACCTCGTGAGTAGCATGAATAGTGTTGCAGGGAAGTCACCAATGGAGAAGTCTTTCGTGGGCACTTCCCTAGTGGGCTGCACGCCATTGGATGACTTACAAAGAGGGGTCACCAATGGTGCGTCGAGGAATGTACTGTGCATGTGGGACAAGGGTACCATGGGCCCCCCCAACGTACCCATGAAGGATGTTAAAAGAACGAACAGAATGGAATTAGCCGATAAGCAGAGTTCGAATTCAGCTACCATCAAGGATGAAGAGAATGGAGTCAAATTAAGAATTACCAAAAAGAAAAAAAGAAAAACAAAGGATGCACTTGTGCAGGAGGACCCAAGGGAGGTGAAGGAGCAGGCTGTGTCTGATAAGGCCATGGATGATGAGATGCCTCTGTGTGATATGGGAGAAGAAAACCCCAATGACGAGGCCAAGTCGAAGCCCAAGCGGTCCAGGAGGTCTCGGGTCGGCAAGGATGGAGAAGACCAGGTTGTCACCGGGGCCTACGACGAGAACGGAGAGAAGATTTCTGGGGTGTGGTACGTTGTACGCGTGTCACGTTGCGCGGTGTGAGGCGTGTCATGTTGAGTGGTGTGAAGTGTATCACGTTGCGCGGTGTGAGGCGTGCCGTATTGCGTCGCCTACCCATGCCGCTGACCCATCCCCCCACCCCTGTGCAGGTACGACACGAACAGGAGACTCTGGCGAGTCATGTACATGGAGAACGACAAGCGGAAGACCAGGGGCTTTTCGCCACGCATTTATGGGTTCAACCTCGCACGCGAGTTGGCCGTCAAGCTCAAGTATGAGATGATGGAAAAGAACAAGAAGTGACCCCCGGGTGGGCCCCTTTTTGTGCCCCCTGTTCGTGGCAAGGCGCATCGGGGAGACTTCGTTAAGGTACCCGACGTCCACTTGTGAAGGAGACCCAGAGCAAAAACGGGAAGCACATAAGAATATATTGGTGTAAATGAACAAGCCAGGATGGAATTTTTTTTTTCTCTGTTTTTTTTTTTTTTTTGTTAAGCAATTTTTAAGGTTATTTTTTTTTTTTGTTGAACTTTTGTTTAATACTTTTCATGTGAGATAATTCCCCCCCAAGATGGTGAGTGAATTTTTTTTCATTTTTTTTTTGAGTGCTGTGTGTTTGTTCATTCGCATCGAGATGGACAAGCGGGGCTCTGCTTCAGAGTGTCCTTTTTTTCCACGCCGACGCAGTGATCTTTTTTTTTTTTTTTTGTTTAAAATAAAAGCATTTCGCTGTTAGTTTTTATCTGTTTTTAAACATGCAATTTACACTTACCATTCAACACTAGGTGACGTACTTTATGGGGTGTGTGTGTGTGTGTCCACAAACGGTGGAGCACAATGCTTACCCCTCATGTCAGGGGAAAAAAAAAAAAAAAAAAAAAAAATGAAAAATGGTGCTTTCTCTTTTTTGAAGCGATGGAGGCAGATGGAACAGTCTGTCCCGTTCCATCTCGGTCATTCGAAACTACTCATCACTCTGGAGGCGACGAATGTACTCGAAGAAGTTAAACACGGAGAGGTCGCTAAGGAACTGCTGCGAGTAGTAGTAGTTGGATGCGAGCGCGGCTGCAAAGAGGGAGCGGAGGTAGATGTATGGTACCCTTTCGAAAATTTGATCAAAGGTAACCTTCTCAAGTAGAATATCTGGAATAACATCCTTCAAGACTTTCTTCATGAGCTTGCGGTCGGTGCAGAGGGTGTCCGAGGAGAGGATGTCTTTTTTCAGTTCGCTGATTTTATTGGAGAGGATATTTGTAGCTTGTGAGATGGGTGTCTTGGTTCGTCTAGACTCACTCCACAAAGATTCGAACTCGAGCTCACAGTAGTGTACGATCTTCTTTTGAATTTCCTTGACATACTGTTTGTAGAAGGGGGAGACGTTGTCTTCTAGGTTGTTTGTTAGGGCCTCCTCCTTTTGCGTCTCCATCTGGTCATTCTGTTGCGTCTTTCTTCCCATCAACATGGAGCGCGTGAAGGAAAGTGAATGGTTGTTTTTCTGATTCAGGTTCATAAAGGTAAGTTCATTTTCGTCCACAAGCAAAATATCACTGTCGGGAGAACACATCATTTGAATAAACTGTTGGTCGGAGAGGACAAGTCCTGCTAAGACCTCCAGACTACTTGAAATGACTCCTCCTTTGTTAGTAGATGCATCTTTGAAGAGAATTACATTTTTGGCTTCTAAAATTTTTCTCGCATCATCTGAGATGAACACATTTGCTCCTTCAACAATATATTTGTATATACACCTTTCATTAATAATAATGCTATTTACATTAAAGACGTTAATGGAGTGGGGTCTACCTCCACATGGATTGAACAAGTCACATGCATTGAGTGGGTTGAGAACGAAGTTGTTTCTGTATTCTAGTCCACTTTTAATAATTTTTCCTAACACATCTACATTGTGATCTTCAATAGATATTTTGAACCCATCTTTGGAAAGATATTGTTCATTGTACAAGATGCATGAGGTGGCTAGCTTTTTCCCTGGAGCATTTCTTCTTTTGGCTAGTCGAATGAGTTCCTCTTTATTCAACCCATTTTTGTCATATAGAACCCCTGAGCCGTCAATGATGGAGGTAATTTTTGTCTTGGATTGCAAAATGGCATTACTTCCAAGGTCACCATCCGGACCTCCAACGATAGATCTGCTTATGGTTTCTTCTTTCAGGTTTAATTTTTCACATAATTTTTTAATATAGGTTTCTATTCCGAGGGTTGTCATACCATAGTAGTCATGAGGGACTCCTCCATTTTTTCTTAGTTTTCCTGTGGAGAAGGTTTTCCAAAATTTGTATCCCCTTTTCTTTGCTATTATACATGCCCAGTCCATGAGTTGATCAGAACCTGTGTTTTCATCTGGTCCCAGGAAGATCAGGTCTTCATGTTCTTCTACTGTGGTGTTTTTTTCCATCACTTGGCCATCTTCACATTTCTTTCCACACATGATTTTCTGCACCGCTTGTTCTGCCGTACCGTTGGCGTAGGTAAAGGGTTTGTTTGGAGTCGAAACATCTGTGGTCACATCTCCCAACAAGGTGGCTGTGTTGTTATTGCTGTTGCAGTTCCTATCCATGCTGGAGTTTAGGGAAATGCCAAGGAGATCTCCATCCCTTGTTCTTCCAAACCCATGATTGTCGTCACCCATGCCATCAGTCAACAAATCTAGAATGGAATTCACATAAGAGTAAAAGCACAAATTCTTTATATACTTTGTATTAGCAACATTACATACATCTGGATCTAGCAGAAGAATTCCTTTGCTTCCCCCCTCTGGGATATCTTTATTTTTAAAATTTTGTGTGTAGGCCAGATTATATGCTTCATCAAACAGGTTATTGTAGTTGTGCATGTACGCGTTCATGTTGTTAGAAATAACTATTCTGATTCCTCCTCTGGAAATTCTGGTGAACCTGATGTGAAAGCCAACAAAGTGTAGTCCACAAATCATGATGACGGAATATGGCTCTGCGTCGTATATAGAATCTTTGAGTAATGCACCATCGAAGGATACCGCGAAACTAATTTTGTTCATACGAAAAAAGTTTGTCTTTACTGCATGTTTTTCAAACAGGTGAAAGTACTGCAAAATTTTTTTGTGTTGGTTGTCTTCAATTTCGTCTATGATGTCTTTGGTTGGTTTGTACGAAGCGGAGTCATATGTGGAGTTGCATGAAGTTGTGGAAGCAGTCGCAGCTCCTGCTGCCACTCCTTGAAAATTCATTTTCCTTTCAAAATTAGCAAACAGGAGTTTAATCGTCTTAACGTTACTAAGGGCACAACTCAGAATTTCTTCTTTCGTGTACTTGGAACTCTTTAGCTTTTCCTTAATGATATAAAAGTCATTCATAATGGCATTGCTACCACTTCCATCAGTGTTATTTCTTAGGTGTAGGGCATGCTCCACATTTTTGTAACTCGAAAAGGAGTTGGTTGAGAAGAAGGTAATAAACTTAATGATTAAGAAAATATACGCCGACTCATCTGCAGTGAATATACGTTTAACAGATAGCTGAATAAACTTCGAGTCGTTAAACAAACACAAGGTCTTTAGGGATTTTACAACTTTATGAATTTTTCCTTCCAAGATTTGTAGCATTTGTTGTGCGTTTTCCGCGGCTTTTTTCCTTTGCTCCTCTGAATTAACAACTACACTAACGTTTAGAATGATTAAGAGCACTCCATTTTTCAGCGGCTCTACATACTTGGAGTAGGAGAAACATCTGTGCATATTCAAGCAATCACCAATAAGAGAAAAAATGGAAGATATCACATTACTCCTTTTGACAGCAATGGTTAATGAGAAGGTGTTCACTGAGGTGGCATAGTAATACGTCTGAATGAACTGACCAGTCAAGTCGTACAGAACTCTCTTGTTCAACTCGTAATATATTTTCTCCTTCTGGGTCCCTTTAATGTAACTATAATAATTAACATCCATGAGCTTTTGCAAATCAGTTTCATTCTCACTTATAATGTCATCACTGTATGTTGGGAGTTCTAAGATGTACGTGCGGAGTGGTTCTTCGTAGGTGTGTTCTTTATCAAATACGGAGTGAACAGATCGGAAGCTCTTCATTCTGTAACAGTCTTTAGACATATCACTGAAGTGGAAATATTTTTCTTCAATCTTCTTTTCCATTTTGTAATTCAACCTTGTCTTATTATCATCTGCAAACACCCTTGTTATTATAAATATTACATTGTCATGTTTTTCTTCAAAGGTTGGAAAATACTTGTCGCTGGAGTACTGCTCATTGATCTTGGCCGTTATGATACACACTACAACTTTGCTGATCAGGTGTGGACTGGTTTCTTCGAAATGGAGTTTGTTAAAACCCAATTTGTTGAAGTAGAAATCCACGCTGTAGTTAATCAAGTGGTCTGAAAACAAATTGTAGCTCCTGAGCAACTCCTTTGTCTCTTCATACTTTTCCTTCCATGTGATGCTGTTGTTCGAGAACAACTCGCGGTCGAACTGTCCCTCGTCTTGGCTGCCTGGGCGAGCCAATGGCATTTGCACGTTGACATCCATCATTCGTGCTCCAAGGGTTTTTTTTTTTTTTTTTTGGGGATAACCTCGATTTGGTTAAACTTTGGGTTGATTTACCCGGATCACTTTTGTTTCACCCTAGTTGGTGCCCTTCAATGCGAGATTACCCACTCGTGAAGGCGAGGGGAAAAACACGCACACGCGAGAGCAACCCCCTTATTTCACCACGTACACCAACTACGTCGATGGGCGCGTGAGTCGAACAAAAAAAAAAAATAAATAAAAAATAACACTCAAGTGAGGGGTTTTGTAGAGGGGGACAAAATGTTTTACCACCTACTCATGGGAATACATACATGAAATAATGTAAGTTGAAATGTACGTTTTTGACAAGTGTACTTAAAGTGCTGGATTTTTTTTTTTTTTTTTTTTTTGAGGGGGCAGGGCTATTTTAACACTATTTTTTACCTGAACAGGTCAGCAGATTTTTGGGAAAAGGTGAGCAACCACAAAAAAGGTTTACATTTGTGCAAGCCAAAAAAAGAGGAGTGACAGAAAAGGAAAAGAAAAAAACGACAAAAATGGATTAAACAAGTGTAGCAAAATGAGTCCAAGACGTTGACATATTTTATAGCAAAACCATTAGCAAACTGCAACAAGCTGCGACAAACTGATGCGGACGTGTGGCAAAATAAAAACCACGGGCAAATAAATTATGAGTTCATTTCTACACGGAGTGAAAGAGGGTATATAGCCGCCTTTTTTTTTTTTTTTTGTTTTCTTCTTTTCCACGGTAATGCATACAACGCTAGGATAAACAACAACAAAATGATGATAAACATGTAACCATTTTTTTTTTATAACTTCTGAAAGCCTGCATGTACATGTTACATGAGAGAGCTGCGTTGCTTTAAAAGCCTTTTTCCCCTCTGTAGTCTGCGGAACGGTGACCCCTTAGATATGATGGTTCGGAAAAGGGCGGGGGAATTTTTCAAAAAAGGAAATATGAAAAACAGTGCAACGTTGTACCAGCCATTCTTTTTGCATAAAAAAGGGATTAATATCCCTGCACGTGTTTCCGTTTGTGCTTATCCTGCTCGCCATTTATTTATTTTTTAAAGTACACGTTCGGTGTTTTGCGGAGAGGGTAAAGAACGAAAACGAGGACCTCGACGGAGGTTCCCCCCACGCGGGAAAAGGGCCATCTACAAATATGTGCGACGCGCCTATGCTCTATGCTGAAATAGGAGGCATGCATGTGTTGCATGCTCGGCCAAACATACGTTGCATGCGCCGTATAAACTGTGTTTTTTCCTGCTTGGGCGACGTGCCGCATGCGCTCTATAAGAACGCGGGATGGCTGAAGGAAAAAAAAACAACAAAAAAAAAAAAAAATTGCAGCCTTGCGTATTCGCTACGCGTCAGTCAGTGTTTTGTATGAAGGGAAAGGCGCATAATACATTTCTTAATTGTGCATAGGGGGAATTTGGAGTGAGAGGGCTTTTTATACAGTTTGGCTGGGTACAAAAGAAAAAAAAACAAAAAAAAAAATGATGGCCCATTGGTATGTTCATCACTTGGCGGTTAAAAAGGAAACAGTTGGTGGTGACGCATATGGGGGCAGTATGCCACACGGCTGTGTGCATGGGAAGGATAAATCCACAGGAGAGCCATCCCCCCAAACGAGACGTTTCACCGCTGCTTAGAGCCACCGAGGCGTAGAAGGAAGGGACAATATTGCTCACCAAATGGGAGGCTAAATGGGGTTGAAAAAAAAAAGATCCAAACGCTGTAACGAAGGATACGGCTGACAGTCAGATGACGCATGGGATGTTGCCGCATCTCATTACCGCTGCAAAGCGCTTAGGGTACGAATTGGGAGGGAAGTTATTGTGTGCACGATGGAGGTGCGACTTCTATTACAAAAAGGGAAGCTGACGCGGTGTATCCGGGGGGGAATAAATAAGTGACTGTGGTGATGCGTAATGGTGATGGCCGAGTGGGGGGGGGGGGAAATCACAAAACTCGTCCCACGTATTTGGAGGGCACGCACTTACGCCCCCCTCTTCGAGTTGCAAGCCCACCGCCGGTCACTACAACTTCCGCCTCTTCTTGGAGTGATAAAAGGAGACGTCGTCCTGCGTGTCCTCCATCGCACGGGGGTAGGCGCAGCTACTCGAGGTCTTCATCAGATTATGTTGAGAGAGATTTGATTTCATGTCACTGAGGACGTTGTTGATTAGATTGTTCTTCGTTAAATTATATTTGATGATGCTGTATGTGGCCTGCGTGCCCATGAGGCTATTGCTCAGGTCCGTGTCGTATACACTGTGGGGCCTTTCCTCACTGGGGGAGTTGGCGTGGTTTGCATGGTTGGCAGCCTGTGCAGCCTGTGCCGTGTTCTTCGCCGCGTTCGCGCTGCTGGAGTTGCCCCAGTCGCCGGCGTAGCGAGTCATATTTTTTTGTCTGCTTATGTGTGGGTCTTTAGTTTGATTTAGGTTTTCCGGTGGTGCTACCCCACGTGCGACTGATGTTCCTCTTTGGGTATCGGAGCCGTCCTCCGTGAAGCAGTTCAGGTTGTCAGCCCCTCCTCCGTGTTGATCAAATACTCTCCTGGCAGGCCCCTTCTTTTCCCTCATTCCAGTGTGTGGAGATCCGTCGTGAAAGTCACTTCCAGTCCTCTCTATCATCATCACCCTGCCACCACCATATACGTTATTTTTAATTGGCCTGAAATAGTAGTTCGCATCTTTTCTTCTACTACTGTTGTTGTTTCTTCTTCTTTGTACATTATCATCCTGGGTGGACTCCTCCCCCTCATTCAACATGAACAACTGTGAATCATGAGGAGTGATGGTGTGTTGATGAACACCCCTCTCGGTATTAAAACAGTTAGGAGCCAGTTCACTAACTAGGTTGTTAATTTGTTTGACTTGGTCTCTGTCCGCTTGCATGTATTTACTACTCCGGATTAGATGCAGTAACTTGTTTAGGTCGTGATTGTTTCTTTTTGCATTGGTTCCTTTGGGGGTTGATTTCATTTGGTGGTTTGTGGTAGTGGCCGTGTGGGTCGTGTCATTTGGGTTGTTTGTTTTGGGTTGCCCTTGTGTGGGTGCACTAAAGTGGGCACATTCCGACGTGTTCATTTTTTCTTTCGAGTTAGAACCGTTAAAGGGATCACTGGTCGCGGTGGTGGTGGCAGTTGTGGTGGTGGTTGCTGTGGTTGCATTTGTGGCCGCTCCCAACGTGCCTTCCACATGGGCCAGTTTTCTCCTGGTCCTGCTAACATTGTGGTAATCCTCAAAGAGTCCTCTTCTGCCTCTGGCTCTGCTTCTGTTTCTCCTTCTGCTTCTCCTTTCGCTCATCATGGAGTGTCTCTCTAAGTCGCTGTAGCTGGTCAGGTTTGCGCTAAATCGGATGGCCGACCTGCCGTCGTAATGATCACTGTGCATTCTTTCGCTTCGGTTGAATTGGTGTGTGGCTAATTCGTTGGCGGTGACATCCCTTGCCTCGGAGTCCCTCCTGCTGAAGTAGTTTCTCGGTATGTCATCCCCCATGTTATAATTATCTTTCGAGTTGGGGACCCGTTCCTTGTTTCCTTCACACACGTAGAAGGGTAGCACACCACCGTGATCGTTTTTACCAATGTTGCTGATTAAGGTACTGGAGAGGTTACTCACATATGATGAAGCCATGTTGAGATTTTTTTTTTTTTTTTTTCATCGGAGGAGTTTCCTATCACAGTAGAGTCGTTATTGGTGTTTATTTTTCCCTTGTAGTTAGTGTGGTTGTTTCTGTTCATGCTTGGTTCCTTCTCGTTCCTGGGATTTGCATTTGTACTTAGCGGGTTCCTTCTGTTGTGTTCACCATGGATTGGTGGGGCTGCGCTGCATGGTTCTTTGGACGGACTGCCATCGGTAATGACCACCTCCCTATCATCGTAGTAGATCTCAATTGGCTGTTGATCCTGGTACAATAAAGAAGTCACACCTTTGGTTTTCCTTCTGGTGTTATATGTAGAGTTGTTCCCATTCGATGCTCCATTTTGCTCTCTTGGTGGCTTCCTCTTTGTGTGTATAGGAGGGGACAACGGGTTGACTCCGTGGCTGGTTTCCTCCCTTTGCCTTTCGCCGTCCTCGATGACTTGTACTTCATCCGAGTCTTCCCCATCCTCCACGTGTTCCTCAACCTGCCCATTGACCTCATCTTTCACATTTAGCAGAATGGAAATGAGCTGCTCCTTCTCTGTCCGATTGAGACTGTTAAATATTTGAACCGACTCGGCTGCTCCAAAGTGGTTGAGCAAGAGTTGTTCATTTATGTGTTCCACTTCATTCGTGTAATTTTTTTTTTTTTTTTTTTTCTTTCCCTCCTTTCCTACCACACGACTGTTGTAACTGTAACTTGGCTCTCCCTCGATTATTGCGTCACGTACTTGTTGTATTTTTTCGTCCACATCCTTTTTTCTCCTCGTTTTTGTGACTCCATCATGGGGTACGAATTGATTCTTCCTCTCGTTCTGTGTGTTAAAGAAGAGAGTTCCTTTGTAATCGGTTGGCTGTTCCTCATGCAGCGGTAGCTGCTTTTTTATAAAGTGTGTTGGTTCCATTTGAGAGTGGGGCCTTACACCTTGGACCTGGTTTTCCATCATTTGTTTTTTCTTTACACTTCTTTGGTGGGCAGTTCGGCTGGAGATGTGTTGGTCTGGGTGGTTTCCCCGTTGTGAAGCGATTGAAGTGTTTCCCCTTCCATTGTGCGGGTTGTTTGCAACGGTTTCTACTTGTATCGGCTGTGGTGATTGGGTTACTTCCGAGTGCACTCCCCCCCGCTGCGTACGGTGCTGCGTCTGTTGCGACTTGTGCATGTGGCCACTGCTTCCTACGTTGTCACGTGTCGGGGTGCCATTCCTCTGGTCCGCATCGTCCCCACTCCGCTTCATTTTGTCCCTCCTCAAATTTCCATTCAAGATATGATAATAATTTTCCAGCAGCCTGTTCCGAAAGAGTCCCTTAGTCGTGCCATTTGACGAGGGATCATTTTCATTTTCACCTGAACATTTCAGATTGTTCTTGTCGAGGTAGAGATTGTATAGCATTTCAAGTTTGTTATTGTGTGGCACATTTTTTTTTTTTTTTTGTTGATTCGTTTCTGCAACTTTTGTCACTCCCACATGCATGTGCAGGTTGGGTGTGTCGTTGTGTGTCGTCTGGAAACTGATTATGTTTGTTGGGTTCGTGCACCCTTCGCTAACGAATCGGTTATTATTTTTCTCCGCTTCCATGTCTACTTGATTTGCCTTGTGGACTACGTCCGGGGGGTAAGTGAACATGCCACTGCTCCCTTTTTGTGTCTCCTTGGGGAATTGGTTTGTGAAGGACTCCCCCACTGCGTTCGCCCAGTTGGCGTTTCGGTTGTCTGCGCTACTGTTTGTGGTCCCGTCTGGTGTGTACAGCACCCCTGTGTTGCTCATAATTGTTCGCTTGCTTTGGCTCAGCTCTCGGAAGTAGTTTGAGAGGAAGTGAAACATAAGGTTGTAAGTGACACTGTCCACATGGGGTGGTATGACTACTGGTTGGCTAGCAGATTCATGATAGGTGTTAGTTTTGCATTGGTGGTTGGCCTCCTTCATGTGGTGTGTTTGTCCTGTTTGCTTTCTTAATTGTTCATCGTCATGATTTGCTACTCCCCCCCTGTGATTTCCATGTGAAGAGTCCTCCCCCCTTGTCATAGCCCCGTATGTGTTGTGTGTACTGGTATAATTCCTCCGTTGAGTTTCTCCTTCGGCTCCGTTAGAGTTGTTATCGGCTTGTATGTGGCTGCTGCTGGGTTGGTAACATGTATCGTCTTTGGGGGTACCAAAAATTCCTTGTTCATACATTACCTTTAGGATAGCTGAATCTTCTTCGGTGATGACAGCACCGCTGTGTGTATTTTGCAAGTTGAAGTGGTTCTTTGCTGCTTTGTTTCCACGGGGGTAGGGGTCATGACGTAATTTGTTCCGAGGGTCGTTGTTTGCGTTTGTTTGGTTGTGTTCCCCCCTCAATGTGTTTACCTCCCCACTGCGTAAAGCGCTTCCCCTCTCACGGTGCTGCTTCTCCATCGAGTGTTCATTTGTGTCCTCCGGATAACAGTGCAGATGTTCGGAAAATCCCTCCTCCACAAAACCGTCGTACCTGCCGTCCACAGGAACTATTATATCTTGGTGGAAGGAAGATCCCACCCCCTGGAGACATGACATTTTAAGCAACCCATTCAACAGGAGTACATCTTTGTTTAGGTAACTCAAGCCCAGGAGACCTCTATCTAATCCTCCTAACACTTCCCCTAGGTTGGCCTCACTTTTGAAAGGTGGTTCACGAAGCAAAGCACTTAATGGATCCGATGAAGGGAAAAGTTTGGTGTATTTTTTCTTTACATACATGTACAGATTTTCCGTGATATAATTGAATGCTCTCAGATTGGAGGTTAGATCCATTTGACCTGACCTCTGGTCATTTTTATCTCTGTAGTGTTCCATTAGCTTGCTTATGTTTGCGTGTACGTTGTCGGTAAGTTCTTCTATGGGTGGGTACTTAGAAGTGCTGCTTGTTTTGGGGTTGCTGCAGAATTTTTCTGTGTAGTGGAACCTGGCTGGGTTGGCGGACGGCGCGTCGTTGCTTATGCTAGCCTGGTTTGTGCCTTCTCGCAGGGGGGCGTGGTAGCGCCCGTGGAGTGGCAGCAGGAAGGAGTCTCGTTGGTCAGTGTACCGATCGTACACATCGTTGTAGAGATCCTCCTCATCCCAGTTGTCGTCCCTTCCTCCACATGCATTTCCGCTTCCCCTTTCCTCCCATCGCAGATAGGCACTAGGACTGTCCCTATCTTCCCTTAACTGGCGCAGGAAATTTTCACTGCCCTCCTCTTCATAGTAGTTGTGATAAATCCCGTGCATGTACTGGTGTTTGTAACAATAAAGGATCTCATGTCTGCTGGTTTTGCTGAAGTTGGGCCACGATAAGTAGCTGCTAGCACAATTGACATGAAGAAAATTATTACAATTTTTTAAGCTGCATTTTAGGGAGGGGAAATTAAGTAAGCAAATGGAACACCTTTTATAAAAGAGAAAGTTAAAAAGGACAGTAAGGTTGAAGTACCTGTTTCCATACACATGATTGTATGTATAATTATTAAAGTAAAGGCAGTCTTTGTGACACGTGTACTTAAGGTAGGATCCATTTTTATGTTTTAGCTTAATGACTCCAATGAAGAGTCTGCTTAAGGTTTGTTTTTCATTACAGAGTATACACCTGACGCTCTGGAACCATGCGTTGTATTCTTTTTTTCCTAGCCCTATCACTTCATCATCGTACACGTGGAGGACGTAATTGGAGTCGATGTCCTTGATGGTGATTTCTTTTGGCCCTTTAGCTTCTCCGTAGTTTGGGTAGTGTTGTATGTGCCGTGTGTATCCCTTTTGTGGAGTGGTGCTGCCTTGCTCGGACAATCGTAACCCCTCACTACACGCACTGGGCAGGCTACCTTCTCCAACGGTAGGCATGGTGTTAGCTATGGTGTTAGCCATGGGAAAGGCACTGTCCACAGTGATGGTGCATCTTCCACTAGGTACTTCAACCTCCCCGGAGGCTTCCCTACTGTAAAAGTACTTGACCAATTTGTTCTTGTAAATAGCTTTGTTAATTTTTTCAATGATCCTGTAGGCCTCCCTCTTTCCGCTGAGGAAGGAGCTCACAAGTGAGCTGCCTCCACCATTGTGTGTGTGTTCCCCTGCGAACAAGAGTCTGTTAATGGGGAAGGATATGATGTCCTTATCGATTTGCAAAGTCTTCCTTCCAATGAAAGAATTCATTCCACGAGAAAACCTATTCCTCACCCAGTCGTAGTAGCATATTTTTTCAATTTTAATGCCTGGTATTAATTCGTTTAAGAATGATTTGCAATCCTTTATAATAATTTTTTTATTCAATTTGGCCATTTCCTTTCTGTACTTCTTTTTTAAGAATAGGGCGATGACTGGGTGTGCAGTGTAGAATACCATGTGATTGTATTTGTTCGAGGCAACGTAACTGTTATATGTGGATTGGTACTTGTCTCCGTTGATGAGGTGGTCTCTCTTAAGGCATTCCATAAAGCTGCTTCCTCGTTCTGTACGTTTGAAGGGGGTACGACGGTAGGTATGATTCTTGTTATGGGTTCGCTCAATAGGGGGGGCATTCTCATAGTGAACTGTTTCTTCTTCAATCTTGCTTGGTGCTTGCTCCATTGCCACTACCCCATCGTTAGTCTCTCCTGTTAGTAGCTCCTCCTTCCTGTCTTGCGTGGGGGAAAATTCCCCTTCACCATTTCCATCCGTTCTCAAATGGGAAACCTCCATGGGGGGGAAGACACCCATCGCTGTATTGTTGGTGAGGGGCATGTCGCTAGCAACACACGAGCTACTAGTCCCCTGATCCGGTGTAAAGGATGGAGTTACGAGGAGGTCGTCCCTGTTTAAGACGTCCTTATGAAGCCACCCCTGCTGCTTGGAGGTCATTTCCCTTTCCCCTTTTCTGCAGTTAAAAAAAATACTAACATTTTGAGGGCTCTCCACAATTTTCTCCTTCAACATGATAATAATTTTGTTGTTTCGGGTGACCCCTAATCTTTGAATGCTGTTTGTCTTCCACTTCGGCAGTTTCGGAATGAATTCGATGAGTCCTGTGGTTTCCTGATGTGGGAGGTCCCTTATGGTTGTGTTGGGATAGCCGCCCCTTGGATTACCATGTGGCTTCCCCCCAGGATTCTTCTTCGAGTGTCTCTTCCCCTTTCCTCTACCGGTGGTCCCCCTTCTTCTCCTTTCTACTTGACCCATTTTAACAATCCCCCTCATTGGGAGGTCTCCGCAAATACACTGAGCATATTTCGCCAGCCGTTGTCGACTCAGATTATAATGGAGGGTGGATCCTCCTTTCGTGTTCTTTTCCTTACACTTGACATAATTTCCATTATTGAAGATGTGTGTATTTTTTCCATCTGACAAGGTCCCCGTGCCTTGTTTATTGGAGCTGCGCGGAGTTTCTGCATGGGGTTTTTGTAACGAGGACTCATTTGGGCTATGGTCTTGATCTACTCTACTGCAAAGGGTTCGACATAAAAAATCACCAGGTTTATCATTCCCCTCGTAAATATGAACATTGCTGTTTGTGTCGGAGGAGCACCTGGCCAGGCTAGCGCATCCTTCCCCACTGAAATAAGCTACCCCGTTGTTGCTGGAACCCTTGTGTCTGCAGGTACTTCTGTTTTCGTTCGTGGTGACATCTATGTTATTGATAAGGTAATCGCTGGAGGTGGATTCATTTTGATTCTGGTTGTTGCCCCAAGGGGGTGCGCTGTGTGATTCTGAGGGGGGGTGCACTGATAGAGGGTTGCGGCGTTGGGCGTCCCCGCTTTCGTCCCCATTCTCCTCCCCAGGGGACACCCATTCTGGACCATCATCAGGCGTACGAGGTTGGGTTAATTTTCGAGCGATGAGGTTGCTCCTTTGTGGGGGAGTTGCACAGGTGGAGGAGTGTTGGTCAGTCTCGAGATGCTCCCTGCATTGCGCTACGTTTCCAACCTTCTTTAATTTTTCCACCTGAGTAGGGTAGTCACTGCGATATTTTATCCCCTTTGTCTTTTTTCGAGTGAACAACTTCACACTGTCCTTAAGAACCCCGATAGGAACCGTCACGATGCAGTAGTCGTACAATTTATTATCCACATGATTGGTGAAGCCAATTTTTATATTATCATTGTAAGCGTATATTTTATTAACAATTTTTTTTTTTTTTATAATAATATTTTTTTTTAATTTATTAAAAATTTCTGTGAGTTCAAAGTTGCAACAGATTGTCTGAAGTACATCAAGGCAGTTGAGGTTGTAGAAGAGGTACTGGATGGAGAGTGCATCTAAATTAATTCCTGCTATGGATTCTATATAAGAAATATATAGTTGTACATATAAACATTTAGGATTTCTTTCGCTTTTCATTTTAGCTAGCTCTGTTCGAATGGCTTGTCCGAGAGACATGGAGAGGAGAGCGTTTTTATCCTTTACATTGTGAAAGAAGGAGGAGTTAAAAATCTGATCATAGTAGAATCTAAGTTTGTAAAGGACCTTGAAGAATTCACTTCTCATTTCATGTTTATATATTTTTTTTCCATTAAAGTATACGTAGTGTTTGTATAAATGCCTGTTCACATCTTTGTGGTAAATGTTTTTCTTCAGACAGAAATTGATGAGGGGATTGTTTCTGTTTATTACTAGGTCCATTTCTCCTAAGTAGTTTTTTTTTCCATTCGGTGAGTAAAAAAACTTACCACCGATTCTGTTTCTTGCTTCGTACACAGTTACATCCACGTTATGATTCAGTAATACATATGCAGCTGTTAGTCCAGACAAACCTGCTCCGATAATCACGACCTTTACCTTTTTATTAACATTTACAATCGTATCAATGTGATATATAATGTCGTTGTAATTTTTTTTTTTTTTATTTCCATCGTGTGTTTTCTTCAAGCGTAATATATTTTCCTTTTTGTAAAGGAATATGTTGGTGTTTGTTTTATCGCATATGTCGACCTGCTCGCTGTATGCACATGAATTTTTGGAGCTGCTGGCTGCGTAGTGGTCTGAGTACCCTCCGAGGCTACCGGGGTGTGTATTCCTGTGGGTCTTTTTTTGTGTCTTTCCTGAAGTGACTTGCCCTGTATGGTCTTCCTCACCCATGGCGTTAATCGCGCTCATCGTGTTGTTCATCATGTTTATAATGATTTTTTTTTTTTTTTTTTTTTTTTTTTTTTTTTTTTTTTTTTTTTT